GTAATGTTCCGGAGCAACGAAGCAGCCTGAAAGAGATATTCGCACACCCATGTTCATAGCACACTATTTATTTATTTAGTTATGATTATTTTGAGCATGGGAAAAAAAAAAATTTTCCCTTTCTTGCCTCTGTCACTCCAGCGCCTGGAGTGCAGTGGCAATGATCTTCTCTCAGCTGCAACCATCCGCCCTCCCTGGTTCAAACGATCTCCTGCTGCAGTCCTTCCCCTGAGTAGACTGGGATTACAAAGTTGTGCCACCACGCTGGCTGTAATTTTGTATTTTTAGTAGAGATGGGGTTTCACCATGTTGTCCAGGCTGGTCTCAAACTCCTGGCCTCATGTGATCCGCCCGCCTTGGCCTCTCACCACAGCAGCACTATTTACAGCAGCCAAGGGGTAGTAGTAGCAACTCAAGTGTCCATCAACAAATGAATAGATAAACAAGTGTCCATCAACAAATGAATAAACAAAGTATGGTATATGCCTCCAACAGAGTATTATTTGGCCTTCAAAGGCAAGGAAATTCTCACATGTGCCACAACATGAATCAATCTTGAGGACATTATGCTGAGTGAAATAAGCCAGGCACTTAAGACAAGTACATGATTTCACTGATATGAACAACCTACAACAGGTAGATTCAGAGGGACAGAAAGTAGAAAAGTAGTTACTGGGGGCTGGGGGAGGGGAAGGAGAAGTTGTTACTTAACACGTTAGAGTTTCACTTTTGCAAACTGAAGAGAGTTCTGGAGACGGATGGTGGTGATGGTTGCACAACCGTGTGAATGGACTTCATGCAGCTGAACTGTACGCTTAAAAATAGTTAAGATGGGCTGGGCGCAGTGGCTCACGCCTGTGTAATCCCAGCACTTTGGGAGGCTGAGGCGGGCGGATCACGAGGTCAGGAGATCGAGACCATCCTGGCTAACACAGTGAAACCCCGTCTCTACTAAAAAAATACAAAAAAGTTAGCTGGGTGTGGTGGCGGGCGCCTGTAGTCCCAGCTACTCAGGAGGCTGAGGCAGGAGAATGGTGTGAACCTGGGAGGCAGAGCTTGTAGTGAGCTGAGATCGCACCACTGCACTCCAGCCTGGGCGACAGAGCAAAACTCCATCTCAAAAAAAAAAAAAGTTAAGATGGTAAATTTTATGTTACTTGTATTTACTACAATTTATTTTATTTTTTTCTTTTGAGACAGTCTTGCTCTGTTGCCCAGGCTGGAGTGCAGTGGCATGCTCTCAGCTCACTGCAACCTCTGTCTCCCAGATTTAAGCAATTCTTCTGCCTCAGCCTCCCTAGTAGCTGGGATTACAGATGCCTGCCACCACGCCCAGCAAATTTTTTGTATTTTTAGTAGAAATGGGATTTCACCATGTTGGCCAGGTTGGTCTCGAACTCTGACCTCAGGTGACCTGCGCCCACCTCAGCCTCCCAAAGTGCTGGGATTACAGGCATGAGCCACCACACCCAGCTTTACTACAATTTAAAAAACCAAAAAGAGGTCAGGAATAGTGGCTCACGCCTGTAATCCCAGAATTTTGGGAGGCTAGGGCGGGTGGATCGTTTGAGCCCAGGAGTTTGAGACCAGCCTGGACAACATGGGAAAACCTCATCTCTAGAAAGAATACAAAAATTAGGTGGCCATAGTGGCGTACGCTTATAGTCTTAGCTACTAGGGAGGCTGAGGTGGGAGACCTGAGCCCAGGGAGGCTGAAGCTGCAGTGAGCAGTGTTCAAACCACTGCATGCCAGCCTGGGTGACAAAGTGAGACCCTGTCTCAAAACATACAAAGGAAAAAACAAGGCATATTTTTGTGAACTATCTAGTGGCACTAAACATTCATTCTCTTAATTCATGCATTTTTCCCTATCCCAGTTCTTAAGGCTGCAGTTTGGGAAGAAAATATGCCATCTCATCTGCCGCCTGATGAAACTTGTCCACTTTGCCCCATATGGGAAAGTACCCAGCCCCTGTGCACACCACACTATTCTTAGCTCATAATGGGACTTCCTCCATATTCTTGTGCCCGGAGATGGAGGCAAAAATAACACAGAATGTGGCTGAGCAACCCTGTGCAAGTCACTCAACTTTCCTTGACTCTCAAAAGCCAGGCTACAAGTCATCACACTTAACCATGTCACTTGACAGATACTAAAGTAGAATATTATCTAGAAATACAATTGTCACCATCACTTAGGAATAGGTGAAATAAACTACCGGGGTCAGAGAAGGTATGAGGCAAATAATAATAACAATTAATAATAAGAAGAAAAAAAAGTTACCAGGGAAGCTACTGGGAAACTTCACACTTCCCTGTGAATTTCAGTGACTCGTTCCTGTTCTTCCCAGGCTTACTTCTTGGTTTGTATACTTTTTTTTTTTTTTTTTAAGACAAAATCGTCTTGCTCTGTTGCCAGGCTGGAATGCAGTGGCATGATCTCAGCTCAATGCAACCTCCCCCTCCCAGGTTCAAGCAATTCTCTTGCCTCAGCCTCCCGAGTAGCTGGGAATATGGGCGCGTGCCACCATGCCCAGCTAATTTTTGTATTTTTAGTAGACGCGGAGTATGTTGGCCAGGATGGTCTCGATCTCTTGACCTCCTGATCTGCCTGCCTCGGCCTCCCAAAGTGATGGGATTACAGGCGTGAGCCACCGCGCCCAGCCTTGGTTTGTATACTTGGTTTTTGTTTGTTTGTTTGTTTGTTTTTGAGACAGTCTTGCTCTGTCGCCCTGGATGGAGTCCAGTGGCACGATCTCGGCTCACTGCAACCTCCACCTCCCGGGTTCAAGTGATTCTCGTGCCGCAGCCTCTGAGCAGCTGGGATTACAGGCGTGTGCCACCAGGTCCAGCTAATTTTGTATTTTTAGTAGAGGCAGGGTTTCACCATGTTGCTCAGGCTGGTCCCGAACTCCTGGCCTCAAGTGATCTGCCTGCCTCGGCCCCACAAAGTGCTGGGATTACAGGTGTGAGCCACTGCGCCTGGCCCGGTTTGTATACTTGTGTCCTGGTTCTAGGACTGTGTGTCTGGTCTCTCCCACTAGATGTGAGCTTCTTGAGGGCAGGGACCTTGTCTACTTTATCTCCATAGCCCCAGAGCCTAGCATCAGTCACTACAGTCACTCATCAAATGTTAGTACAACAAGTAAGGTCAAATGTCTGTATTTTAGGATGGAGTATTTAGGACTAGCATCTCTGAATGAAGATCCTGACTTCACCTCTTACTTGCCGTTAAGTCCTTAGGCAAATTACTTAATTGTTCTGTGCCTCATTTTTGTAAAACAGTAATAGTGTGAGGATTAAAAAAGACATCGTCCACTTACAGCAGCTTTTTTTTTTTTTTTAACTGTGGCTGGAGACCTGCTAGTAGGTCATAACATTAATGAGTTTCGACAAGAATTTAAAAAACCTAGGCCGGGTCCACGGTGGCTCACGCCTGTAATCCCAGCACTTTGGAAGGCTGAGGTGGGTGGGTCACTTGAGGCCAGGAGTTTGAGGTCAGCCTGGCCAACATGGCGAAACCCCGTCTCTACTAAAAAAGAAAAAAAAAAATTAGCCAGGCATGGTGGCAAGCGCCTGTAATCCCAGCTGCTCAGGAGGCTGAGGCAGGAGAATCGCTTGAACCCAGGAGGTGGAGGTTGCAGTGAGTCGAGGTCACGCGACTACACTACTACACCTGGGCAACAGAGCAAGACTCTGACTCGAAAAAAAAAAAATCTACAGTAGTTTCTCTTTTGTGCCTGGCTTCTTTCTCTCAATGTAACATCTGTGAGATTCATTCACACTGCTATGTGTATCAGCACCCTGTTCTTTTTCTGTTGCACAGTATTCCATATATCACAATTTCAAAACTCAAACTGGGTTGCATTTAGATTGTTTCCAGTTCAGCAGTTGAGACTAAAGCTGCTCGGAATCTTCTTGTCTATGTCTTTTTGTGGTCATGTGCACTAATTTCTCTTTAGGTAAAATGTGTTTCTTGCCCAAGTGTGGTGGCTCACATCCACAATCCCAGCACTTTGGGAGGCCAAGGCGGGAGGATTCCCTGAGCTCAGGAGTTTGAGACCAGCCTGGGTAACGGTGAGACCCCCATCTCTACAAAACCTCAAAACAGTTAGCCAGGCATGGTGGCACATGCCTGTACTCCCAGCTACTCGCAAGGCTGAGGCAGGAGAATTGCTTGAGCCTAGGAGGCCAAGGCTGTAAGTGAGCCATGTTTGCACCACTGTACTCTAGCCTGGGCAATAGAGCAAGACCCTGTGTCAAAAAAAAAAAAAAAATTGTGTTTGTTGCTCTAGGTCAAAGGTTCTCAAACTGTGGACCCGGGGCCACCAGTATCAGCATTAACTGGGAACTCGTTAGAAATACAGATTCTGGCCCCGCAGGGTGGCTCCTACCTGTAAACCCAGTACTCTAGGAGGCTGAGGCTGGAGGATTACTTGAAGCCAGGAGTTTGAGACCAGCCTGGGCAACACAGCGAGATCCCATCTCTTTAAAAAAAAAAGGAAAAGAAAAGAAAGGAAAGGCAAAGAAAAGAAAAAAGAAAAGAGAAGGAAAGAAAAGAAAAAAGAAGGTGTCTTCCTGCTAGTAGGCGCCCTCCTACGCTCCGCAGGCGCTGTGGGCCCAGCACTCACCTCCCCGCTGGTCGGAGGGTCCTGTCTCCGCAGCCCCTCCACCTCCTTCCTGAGGTTGTCCCTCTCCATCTTCAGCTCCTCCAGCGCCAGGCTGCCCTCATTCACCAGCGCCTCCAGCATCTCCAGGACGCGGACGACTTTGAACTGCAGCTGCGTCACCCGGGGGTCGCTGCCCAGGGCCATAAGTTCGCGGCCCAACAGGTAGGAGATGTCATACACGTCCTCGGCGGTCAGCTGGAAGGGGCTCTTGCCCAGCGCCCCTTCGGGCCCAGCCTCGTCCCTCTCCTCGTCCTCAGTCTCGTCCCTCTCATCGTCCTCCTCTCCCTCTTCCTCTTCCTCTTCTCGCACAGGGGGCTCCTCCATGGCCACCCAGACCCCGCCGACCCCGGAGCTGCTCTCTTGGAGTCTCCCAAAGGTTGAACTTCCTCCCGGCACCCAAAACTTTCCGCTGGGCAGAGTCCCTACCTGCCCAATCAGCGCGGCCCGGGGGTGGGCCCGGGGGGGGGGGGGAAAAGGGGAAAAAGGGGCCGCGCACGCGACTCTAGGGCCTGGGCCCCCGGCGCACCGTCCCCGCTGCAGGCCGCGCGGGCGAGTGCGCTCCAGGTTGTGGTTTGGGGCACGAAGGGACAACAGAAAAGGAGGGCGTCCGAGAAGGGGAAAGTTCAGGGGTGAGGGCAATCCCCCCAGCCTGGGAACAGTTGCAGCCCGGGGGAGGAGCCGCCCTGAGCCCCGCCCCTGGCGACCGCTGCCGGGAGGCGCGTTCCCGTGGAGACGGAGTTTCCATCGCGCAATCGAGAGCAGAGCAAAAAGAAAGCAACTTTTTCCTTTCTACCCTCGTGCTTTCCAGCCGTAGAATTTGCATCGTACGTGATGGAAGATCCGGGTCTCCCTTTGAGGGAGTTTTCTGGAACCTGCGGCCAAACAGAAAGCAGCTGTTGTGGGCAGCGCGACAGAGTCCCCAAGGCTTGAGGATCTGGAAAACTCTCAGCAAATTGTCATTAGGGCCTGGGGCATCTGACTTCTGTGACTCTCAATAAAATGGGGAATTCCTACCCTGCTCACTTCGCTGGGTCCTTGGCTCCTCCACGTAACCGGCGCTGCCACCTTGGCAAGTTACTTAACGTCTCCAAGCCTCAGTCTCCTCTTCTGTAAAATGGGGACAATAGCGGGACCCAGGTGGCAGGGTTGCTGCGAGGAACATGAACTTATGAGATAATGTGTGTGACACCTCACACACTTAGGAAGCACTTACAGATGTGATTGTGATCCTTCATTCTTTCTTCCACAGAGCTGGGGAGGAATTGCTGGTGTTGGAGACACCCTGCTACTTGGGTGAGAGAAGCAGGCGTAATTAACAAGAGAGAAACCCCTGTCTGAAAATCACAAAGCATTCGACACATATGCAGAATCCATATTACTGAGAATATTAGCAGTGTGGCTTAGAAACTTGAGTTATTCGCTGTGGCTCATGCCTTAATCTCTACACTTTAGGAGGCTGAGGCAGGAGGATTGCTTGAGCCCAGGAATTCGAGACTAGCCTGGGCATCATAGTGAGACCCTATCTCTACAAAAAGCAAACAAAATTAGGTGGACACGGTGGTTCATGCCTGTAGTGGCAGGTACTCGGGAGGCTGAGGTGGGAGGATCGCTTGAGCCCAGGATGTTGAGGCTCCAGCGAGCCAAGATCGCACCACAGAGTGGTGCCTGTGACGGAGTGAGACCATGGTGACAGAGTGAGACCATGTTTCAAAACAAAAGCACAACAAATCTCAAGTTATTTTAGGTTCCATTGGAGGTTTGTGATAGTCTCAGGCAGAAAGCTCAGCAACAGGGCTTATCTTTCCTAGGAACGTATTGGCAGCTTTCCTTGTGATGGGTGTGTCCATTTTCTCCACACTGAGGTACTAGAATCTCAATGGAGAATGTACACGGATTAAACCAACCAACTAAAGCAAAGCAAATTAACAAAACATACTATTTTCAGAGGGCCGTTTTTATTTTACTTATTTATTTATTTTTAGTTTTATTTATTTATTTTTTTTGAGACGGAGTCTTGCTCTGTTGCCCAGGCTGGAGTGCAGTGGCACAATCTCGGCTCACTGCAACCTCCACCTCCCAGGTTCAAGCAATTCTCCTACCTCAGCCTCCCGAGTAGCTGGGACTACTGCGCCAGTTATAGTCCCAGCACATGCCACCACGCCTGGCTAATTTTTTGTATTTTAGTAGAGATGGGGTTTCACTGTGTTGCCCAGGCTGGTTGTGAACTCTTGAGCTCAGGCAATCCTCCCACCTGGGTCTCCCAAAGTGCTGGGATTACAGGTGTGCGCCACCATGCATGGCTAATTTTTTGTGTTTTTAGTAGAGATGGAATTTTATCATGTTGCCCAGGCTGGTCTTGAACTCCTGACCTCAGGGTGATCCACCAGCCTCGGCCTCCCAAAGTGCTGGGATTACAGGCATGAGCCACCGTGCTTGGCCTTTCTTCTTCTTCTTTTTTTTTTTTGAGACAGAGTTTCGCTCTTGTAGCCCAGGCTGGAGTGCAGTGGCACGATCTTGGCTCATTGCAACCTCTGCCTCCTGGATTCAAGCAATTCTCCTGCCTCAGCCTTGCAAGTAGCTGGGATTACAGGCATGAGCCACCACACCCAACTAAGTTTTGTATTTTTAGTAGAGACAGGGTTTCACCATGTTGGCCAGGCTGGTCTTGAACTCCTGACCTCAGGTGATCTGCCCGCCTCACCCTCCCAAAGTGCTGGGATTACAGGTGAGAGCCACTGTGCCCAGCCTATTTTTTCGTAAGAGATGAGGCCTTGCTCTGTCACCCCAGCTGGAGTGCAGTGGCATGATCACAGTTTCACTGCAGCCTCGAACTCCTGGGCTTAGGTGATCCTCCCACCTCAGCCTCCCGAGTAGCTGGGACTACAGGTGCTTGCCACCATACCTGGCTAATTTTTTTTTTTTTTTTAAGAGACAAGGCCTCGTTCTGTTGCCCCGGCTGGTCTCAAAATCCTGGCCTCAAGCAATCCTCCCACTTTGGCCTCCCAAAGTGCTAGGATTACAGGAATGAGCCACTGTGCCCCGCCACCAATATTGTAATAATCAAAACAAAGCTCCTGGACAAGGGCCTAGAAGCCCACAAATCACAGAGTGACAACATCCAGTGGTTAAATACTGAGATGAAACATTAGGCCTGCCATACGTAAGAGAGGGTATGTCCATCCAATAGAATAGTATTCAACCGTAACAAAGAATGGAAAATAAAATAGAGAGCTGATAAATAAATGCTTGCATATATTGGCAGATGATTTTCAATAAGGGAGCTAAGATCATTCAATGGGGCAAGGACAGTCTTTTCAACCAATGTAGTTCACTATATACAAAAAATTAACTCAGAGTGCATCTAAAGGGCCATCACAGTGGCCAGGAGTTGGAGACCAGTCTGGGCAACACAGTGAGAACTCTCTCTACAAAAAATAAAAAAGGAGCCAGGTGCTGTGGCTCACACCTGTAATCCCAACACTTTGGGAGATGTAAGTGGGCAGATCACTTGAGGTCAGGAGTTCGAGACCAGCCTGGCCAACATGGTGACGGAGAATGGAGGGTTGTTGTTTAATGGGAGTAGAGTTTCAGTTTTGCAAGATCAGAAAGTTCTGGAGATTGGTTGCATGTGAGCCACTGTGCCCGGCCAAGAGATGTTAATTTTGAGCGGCCTGGTGGCTCATGCCTGTAATCCCACAGCACTTTGGGAGGATTATTTGAGGTCAGGAGTTCCAGGCCAGCCTAGTCAACAAAATGAGATCCCATCTCTACCAAAAAAAAAAAAAAAAAAAAATTAGCTGGGTGCATACTTGTGGTCCCAGCTACTTGGGAAGCTGGGGTGGGAGAATCACTTGAGACCCAGTTCTAGGCTGCAGTGAGCCGTGATCATGCCACTGCACTCTAGCCTGAGCAACACAGCAAGACTCAGTCTCAAGAAAAAAAAATTTAAATAAATAAATAAATAAGTAAGTAAAATAAAGCTGGGTGTAGTGGCTAATACCTGTAATCCCAGCACTTTGGGAGGCTGAGGTGGGTGGATTGCTTGAGGCCAGGAGTTTGAGACCAGCCTGGCCAACATGGTGAAATTCTGTCTTTATCAAAAATACAAAAATTAGCAGGGCTTGTGCTAAGCACCTATAATCCCAGTTACTTGGGAAGTTGAGGTGCAAGAATCACTTGAACCTGGAAGGGGAGGTTGCAGTGAGCCGAGATCATGCCACTGCACTCTAGCCTGAGCAACACAGCAAGACTCAGTCTCAAGAAAAAAAAATTTAAATAAATAAATAAATAAGTAAGTAAAATAAAGCTGGGTGTAGTGGCTAATACCTGTAATCCCAGCACTTTGGGAGGCCGAGACGGGCGGATCACGAGGTCAGGAGATCGAGACCATCCTGGCGAACACGGTGAAACCCCGTCTCTACTAAAAAAATACAAAAAACTAGCCGGGCGAGGCGGCGGGCGCCTGTAGTCCCAGCTACTCGGGAGGCTGAGGCAGGAGAATGGCGTAAACCTGGGAGGCGGAGCTTGCAGTGAGCTGAGATCCGGCCACTGCACTCCAGCCCGGGCGACAGAGCCAGACTCCGTCTAAAAAAAAAAAAACCGTAAAATAAAGCCGTATGAATTTGATTAAACAGTTTATCTTCAATAACCTAGACATGAGTCCACAGATGGCTTCCATGGTTTCATAGCTGTCTCTCACAGCTTTGGTGGCTTTGTTTTCTGACTTTCAGTCATGTGCTTCTAAACTCAACATGAAACTGGGCTTCTCACTGCCCTAACTTTTCAGACAAATCAAAGACCCAACCAGTGCTACAGTCTGCATTGGTAAGCCCGCTCCGGGAACTCGGCGTATTCACCCAGGATTTAGTCCACGAACACTCAAGCAATTTGCAATCCAAAGAAGATTTGAAATATGAGACTTCCAAGGCATCATATGCTCGCCCGTTTATGATAAAGGATGTTTCAGAGGATACAGATGAAAGTGAGGAATGCGGGGAGGGGGCAGAGCTCCCACACCCTCCCCAGGGCACCGCCCTCCAGGAACCGCCATGTGTTCAGCTGTACGGAAGCTCAAAAAATGTACTATATCTTACTCTTGGGGAGGTCACATGAGTATACACGAAGGTAAAAAGTTGAGGTTGGGCAGGGTGGCTTACGCCTGTTATCCCAGCATTTTGGGAAGTTGAGGTGGGAGGATCGTTTCAACCCAGGAGTTCAAGACCAGCTTGGGCAACATAGTGAGATCTTGTCTGTATAAACAATTAAACAATTAGGCAAGCATGGTGGTGTGCACCGGTGGTTCCATCCATTTGGGAGGCCAAGGTGGGAGAATTCCTTGAGCCTAGGAGGCCGAGGGTGCAGTGAGCCGTGATGGAACCACTGCACTCCAGCCTGGGTGACAGAGTGAGACTATCTCTAAACAAATAGCCGGGCACGGTGGCTCATGCCTGTAATCGCGGCACTTTGGGACGCCAAGCTGGGCAGATCACGAGGTCAGGAGTTTGAGACCAGCTGGGCCAACATGGTGAAACTCCGTCTCTGCTAAAGACACAAAAAAATAGCTGGGGTGGTGGTGCGTGCTTATAATCCCAGCTACTCTGGAGGTTGGGCCAGGAGAATCGTTTGAACTTGGGAGGCAGAGGTTACAGTGAGCTGAGGTCGCACCATTGCACTCCAGC